GGGCTCCCCGGACAACCCATGCTAATAAAACCCCGGGGGGGGGGGAGAAGCCGGTTAGGATGGAGAGTCGCCGCCGGTCACACTGGGCAGCAGGCGGGCGGCGGGAGAACGCCGCGGCTTCCCTCCCTGCCCTCCCAAAAGGAGCCGATTCAGGGTCAGGGCCGACTGAACACGGACCTGACCCGAGGCTAGGCGACCGAGGCCTTGGAGGGGGGACCCTCCGGGCCGGCCGCAGTCACTCGCAAGTCCCACGGAGCGGGAGGGGGGCGGCCAAGCGCAACGGCTCTCGCGCCGTCCCTTCAGGACTCCGAGGGTCTGTTCTTGCAAGGCCAATAGAGTTTATTTAGGACAGGCATTTTATTTGGCGGGAGCTGAGAGGGGCGAAGGGCAGCCTCGCCTTCGGCCGGGTGTGGCTGTGGTTGCAACTGCGGGCTAATGCCGGTGGAGTGCCGCTGCAGAGGCTGATCAGCGATGGCCCCCGCCTCAGTCCGTTCGAGGTCGCTGCCGGGCTCCAGTTCCAAGGACTCGGCCTCGCTGCTCTCGCTCCCGCCTTCCGAGCGGCTCGGGCTGCTCTCTGGCTCGCCCTCCCCAGCAGGCGCAGCGCCCCCCGTGGCCTTCTCGGCCGGCTCCTTATCTTTGTCCTTCTGCGCCTGCGCCTCCTTCGAGTGCCTCCACTTCATCCGCCGGTTCTGGAACCAGACTTTCACCTGCGGGCAGACACAAAAGAGAGCCACGCCGGGCATCAAGATGGGGGCGGAGCTAAACTCAGGTCCGGCCAGCACGACTGGGGCTACACCGCCCCCCCCCCCACGCTAACATGAAACATACAAAAATGGAGGATTTGAACCCAGGTGTATTAGTCGGAAGGGTGCTAAGATTGCGTTTAGACTAAATCTCTCCAATATTTCAAATTTAAGATTAGCAGCCATGATTATATACGCAGCGTTTACGTACCTAGATTCTATAAGTGTTAAGAACAGTGCAAGTTTTAAATGTCACCCCTTACTGTCGTCATTTCATGCTTACAAGGGCATCGAACATATACCATTACTTATCTTGTAAACCGCCTCAGGAAGCAGACTGCTGAGAGGCGGTTGAGGAAAATGTCAACACTGAATGAGATCGGATATTCCGAACCTTGGAAGGTGTAACCGTTTTCCTCCTTCCCTTCCTTCCTTCCATGGAAAGAAAGCAGCAGCCCTGGGTTCCACGCACAGTAGGGAGGATGCATGTATCACTGCCGTGACTCAAGCCAATGCAGACATACACACTTCTACCACCACCACCACCACCACGGGCCTTCCGCACAGCCTGAACTCCAGCGATGGAGAGTGGGAAATCTACGGACGAGCCCAACGGTAAAATGTGCGAAATTTAAGTGGCCTGGCTTTTGGGGAAAGACTTTGGAATAAATGCCTGCAATTCCGATTGCCTCACAAAAAAAAAGAGCGGGACGTCATTTCAGAGACCGAGAGCAAGAAAGAATTTATGTGGAAAGGCTTTGCACCTTCCCACTCAGGGAGAGAAAAACTTTAGAACATATGTTCTTTAAATGCCCATACTATGAGGTGGCATGTAAAGAGATTATCACCCCACTGATAGGAAAAAACTCGCGTCTGTCAGAAAAAAACAAACTGGAATTTCTTTTAACTGACAAATATCCTAAGATTACTCATCAAGTAGCCAGGTTCTGTAAGGTGATACTCAGGTCACGGAAATTGTTTAGTGGCTAGATGTAAGTGTAACTTTTATACTAGATTTGAATGTGTTGTATTTGGAAGCGTTCTATTTTATATTTAAAATTTTTATATTAGTTTTTAATTTTCTGGAATGTATTGTCTGTAACACACACACACACACACACCTACCTACCTACCTACCTACCTGTAAGCATATCTGGTCTAAGGACTGTAATAGAAATAAACTAAACGAAGAACTTCCTCAGTAACTGTTGTGTAAATATTGGAACATCTGTGAACAATAGTGTTATCTTTGTTGTGAAGTCCTCCATGAACCAAGGTATTTGGGATTTGTAGAATACTCTGATGATCTGTAATTGATGTATAAGTTTCTTAAGCACATGTTTCTTCCTATAATTTTAGTTTTACATAATCAAAGTAAACTGAAAGAAGCTGTTAGTAAATGTTATGCTGGTTCTGAATACTAGATACTTATATGATTAAGTTCTGAGTACTGGGTTGTTTTTAAATTGCACATAGCACAAGGGCAGAATGGTCAAAGGTGAACAGCTTTTATTAAGGCAAGCCTACTATGCTACTAGTATTTTTTTGAAATTTGAACTTCATTCTGTTCTTAATTCTTTTTAATGTGTTTATCTGTTAAGACAAAAGCAGGTGGCTTGCAGAAAATGGAACAAAATCAGTGTCTCAGTGCTCCAGTTCTTAATAGCAGTGAGAAAGAGGAAAAAGGAAAAGCAGTGTTATGTGCACCTAGACATTTGAGAGGTCGGGCAGACCCTAATCTGAATGCAGTGAAAATTGAAAAATTATCGGATGATGAGGAAGTAGACATCACAGATGAAATGGATGAACAGCTTTCTTATGG